TTAAAAACAAGAACCTCCTTTGCATAATCACAGTGAGTTATAAACTTCAGACAACTTGACACCATTTTCTAATACCCAGCCCATGGTGCTGGTTTCCCCAGGACTGGCCTTTGTAAGACGCTGGCCTGTTTCTCTAGGACACAGCCCAGTCCTGCGATGCCCCGCAGCCTCCTTGGTCTTTCTGGACCCTGCCCTTTGGAGAGCACAAGCTCACTGCGTGTGGGAAGGTTCCTCTGGGTTTCTCTGGTTTGTCCCACAATGCAATTCGAATTACACATTTTGGCCAAGAACACTTCAACGGTAATGTAGCATCTTCAACGATGTAGCATCTTCATCGAGCCGCCACACGGGTGGTGTCTGCTGTCACCACCCTGTTTGTTTGCTGACGCTGACTCTGGTCTCTCGGTTAAGAAGATGTCTTATAGGTAATGCCTTGTGTGTTATCATGAAACGCAGCGATACATTCTGTTTAATGACACGATAGAATAAAGTTTCTGTGCAAGACAAATACTTCATATGCATATAGAGACCTTTCATTATAAAAGTTGAAAATAGTGGTAACAAATAAATTAAAACTCATACTTCTTAAAATGAATCATTGTTAATATCTGGGTGTGCAGGTATAACCTTCAGGATTTGCTTACCTTACATAATAGGATCACAAGTTGTGAAACTAAGTCTCTTACCTATGTAGTGAACTTACTTCCTAAGTAGTAATTAGCATCTCCAGGAGAAGAGAAAAGCAGGGAACTAAGAAGGAGTTTGAGACCTGGCCTCTGAGGCAGACGGGGCCGAGTCTGCCTGAGTTTTGCTCCTGTGAGCTCTGCACTGACTCCCGCACAGCACACAGCCCCTTCACCTTCCACTTCCCCTGACTCTCCAGCCCAACACCAGCAAGGAGAGGGAAGCGAGGGAGAGAAAGGGGGCGGGGCGCTGGCTGCCGGGCATTGGAGTGCGGAAAGATGGGGAAGAAAACGTGACAAACACATTCTTAGAGACAAACACTGGCTGCATGTGGTACTGCTGGAGGAAACAGTGATGTGTTGCCATGTGTTTGTGTGTTTGTGTGCGTGTGTATCAGGTTAAATAACCCTTAGTTATTGAGGGCTGATGGGGCCCGCAATCTCCTAAGCAAGTGGACCGTGAAGGCTTAAATAAATGAGACAATTGAAATGCTGTAAGGGCTCCAGGAGGAACTAACTCTCTTACAGATTTGAGATTCTCTGGGTTTAGACAGAGACTTCTCTAGGCAGCCCCGTGTTTATTTGGTTTACAAACAAAGGAAGGGGAATACTGAAAGAAATGAAGGAATCTGGGCAGGACCTGGGAAACCCTTTAAGGACTTCTCCAAGTAATAACACATTATGTTAATTTAGGAGAACTGTGTTATCTCCAGGAAGGCCTTTCCCGCAGGAGTGAGATGCCTGCAGCTTCAGTCTCCTCTTAGTTAACTGGGGTTGGAGCCAGACGTCCTCAGCTGGGGCCTTATCTTGTCCTTTGAGGCATCACAGCTTCACAGGCCAATACAGGCCTCATCATGGACCCGGGACTCACAGAGGTTTTCTTACTATGAGTCCACTGCCCCTCCCCAGACAAGGTGCTGAAGCTTCAGACAACTCACAAGTAAACATGAAAAGCCCGTTGGTTAGTATTAAACCCTGCTCAGACCGGCTTCATAGTGGTCTCCATCATGTGTGCCTGCAGGTGCACCAGCCCGTCCCACTTTCCTTCCTGTCTGTCACATGACCTCTGCAGAACGTCAGTGTCCAGCGTGTCCTGACTGAAGGTAAGACAGGGATCCGTTTCCAAGAGGTCTCTCTGCACAGAGCACACAAAGCCCTCGAAGCTACAGCTCAGCTTCCCGCTGTTCCAGTTACTGGGTCAGCTGGTCCAGTGATGTCAAGTGGGGAATTTGAGGAACCAGGAATTTCTGGTTTCAGTGGTGCTCCAAGCTGAGTGGACAGCGAAGCCTCAGGACATCCCGCTCCGGCCTTCCTGGGGACAGATCCCGCCCTGTCACAGTCCGCATGGTGTATGCGCTGCCCGTTCCTTAGCAGTCCTTGGGTCCTCAGATCACCTATCACGGAAGCACAGTGCCTGTGTTTATTGGACCTGATTTTACTTGGTAGTATTCACAAAGCACACTGACAGTGACGCTGGTGGCTTTGATATGCTTTAGAAGCCACCAAGTGCTCTCTTAACTGAAACCAGGAAAGTTCTTGGCTCCCTAGGAGAAAACTGCCATCCAGAGTTTGCTATTCCCTGCAGCCAGCCTCTGCTGGGAGACTTGGCACCCTCACTCTGAGGGTGGGGAGGGGATGTGTTTCTACAGTTTGATGGAAAGATAACAAATCTTAGCAGTGGGTGATAATCCCACACCCAAGAGCTGGGCTCACAGGAGTCCAAGACAAAATGAGACAGGAAACCCCCAGACCTGGGTGGTGGAGGGCGGAGGTGATCACAGTAGGGTGGAGGAGACCTAGCCAACATGTTGGGAGTATTTCTCCAGAAATATGTTTTTAAAGGAAAATTGTTTCAGGAGGAAAATAGCAGAGTAAAAAAGAAATGAATGAGTCATATTATCCACTCGAGAGTCCCTGGAGAGACTGGAAATTATTGAAGTCTCCTACCACATACCTGGTGGGACTCCAGTAAATTGCACTGATCTAAAAGTGTGTGCCATCTTGTTGACCCTGAGCTGAATCCTGAACTGTGAGGCACAGAGAGTGGATGCAGCACTGGAGGGAAGGCTGTGGGAAGAGTGGGCGGGTTCTACTGCTGTCCCTTCACCTGTGAGCTACGTGCGTGTAGGGGGGATGGTCGCTTTATTCTTCAGTTTTGCCATCCGAAAAACAGACATAAGGCCAGACACCTGTCTCCCCTAATGTACAAAATGACATATGGGTAAAGTTAGTAAACAGAAAACTGAAGTATCTTCAACATGAAAGGTGGCATTTAGAGTATCAGCCAGGAATCAGAGCTGTGTGTCAGTGGCCGGGTCCTGGGTTGTAAAGCCCATCTTCACAGCCAGAAGTGCTCCTGTTCCACTCACTCAAAGACACAGCCCAGCCGGAATCGCAGCAGCCCTCACCTCCTGCCCCTCAGAGGCGCGTGACGAGGACGGCTCCCATCTGCTGTTCCGCTATTTGAGGAAGCAACCGGGACCGCCCAGCCTGGCCCATCTAACCAGTCATCCGCACACCAGTCAGCACCCCGGCTGGGGTGTGTCCCCCAGCCCAGTGCCAAACCTCTCCTCCTATGACACCTTCTCCTGGAATAACGCCGCTGCTGCTGCTGATGATGATGATGATGATGATGATGATGACAACGACAATGATGATGATGACAGTGACTGTGATGGCGACAAATGGAATCTTTGGTGCCCGGCTCTGAGCCACACCCTTTCCTCAGTTTAATTCATTCAGTCTTCACTGTGAGTCTACAGGTGGGTGCGTGGTGTTCTCCATTTTCTCAATGAGGAAACTGCAGTACAGCAACAAAGATTCAGTGCAGTTTCCCAAAGATACTTGCTCAGTAAGTGAGGAAGCCCAGGTCTCCCAGTGGACAGCCAGAGACTCCAGCTCACTCTCCCAGCCGCTACTTTCTATTTCGGAAGACTTTCTTTGGTCAGGTTATTGCCTCAGGCAGCTTTCACACCAAGACTGGAACACTAGAAACACTTTCTCTTGCCTTTAGCGTAAATTTCCAAATTCCTCAGGAAACTGCTGTGTTCTCCTCTCTGCCCGAGGCCACCTCCATCCCCAGGTTTGCTTGGCCATTTTCTGCTTATTTCTCAAGTACACATCTCGATGCACATCCCCTGGCAAGTCCTTCTCCACTTTCTCCCAAGATCACTTGCTGTCCGCAAATCCCAAGGATTCACATGGCTTCGCGTCTTCCCTCCCAGCCTCCCCGGCACAACCGCCTGCTTACTCCACTGGAGGGCTCAGATCACGTAGAAAGGTCTCCTTTGTCAATGACAGCACCGTAACCTTGCTCTAGAGATTAGATGTGGCTGCCTGGCAGATGTCCTGACGTGGGCAGAAACTTCTGTGAGCCTGGCCAGCTCCCCAGCACAGCCTCTCCCACTGGGAAGAGCAGATATTTGTGACTAGGGAGCTTGCAGTTCCCAGGGTGCAGACTCCCCACTTCTGATCAGTCACAGAGGTGGCCACTTTTGTCTGAACTGCTATTTAAAGAGCCCTGCTGGCGAGGAGACTTTGGGGTCTCATCCGTGGAGAGGATGCCCCGCCCAGACCCTTCCCCATGGGAAGCTGGGAGTCACGCAATGGGACTCCAGCCATGGGAACTGGAGTTCCAGGTGCTGAAGCTCTCCTATCTGGTGATGTAGCCCTCTTTCTGTACTTTTTATTTCTTCTGTGTAATTCTGTATGTGTCAATTTACAGTTTACTAAACATTCTTTTATGGCTTTTACCTTGGTGCTAAAGGCTTGTATTGTTTGCAAATCCGAACCACTAAATCAACCAGTTCCAACCCCGGGTCTCTTTAAGGCTCCACTGTCTGCCAATGATCTGCAGCTCCCTGGTGGCTAACATTGTGCCTTCCTGCACCCTGCATGCTGGAACTGCGTAAGCTGGTCAGTTCTGCACGAGGGCCTTCACTCAGGACTTCTCAGCATGAGGCCTTTGTGGGAACTGTGGAACTTACATTAATCCCACGTTTCTCCATGAGCTTGTGCACAAGGATCTGTACTTTCCCGGGAGTGTGGGAATAACTGTTCTATGGTTTGCCACCAGGTCAGAATGTGTTTGTGGAACAAATAAATTTGTGATCCCCCCTGGAACCCTCACTGGGCCCAGCAGGGATGGAGCATCACACAGCTGTCCCATGAGACACCACGCAGCCCTGCTGTATCATTGAACACCTACCTTCTGGATAACTCACGTCTTCCCGGTGTTCCTAGGGTCTTCTCTTCCTACCACGTCGACATCTCTACCCCACATGCGGCAAGCGGGTCTGCTTCCTGATTCCACAGTTCTACTCCTGTTAAGGAACGAAAAGCTTCAGTCAACAAATCCAAACCATAAAAAGTCCTATGTAAGTTAAAGGTCATCCATCACTGTCCAGCTAGGAGATGGGGCCGCAGGAGGCCCCCAAGAGTTGGAAGGACCAGGCTCAGGCATGGTGGGACGTGTCTGCTGGGAAGAGGCAGGTGTGTGAGGGCGCTGGAGTTGGCCTTGATGCTGACCACTGCAGGGCTGCATGGCCTTCTGGTGCTCACGGGAGTGGAGTGCAAAGGCAGGCTCGGTGCCCAGCCTGGTCCCTGATGACCAGCACGTCCCCCAGCATTCAGGGCCAGGGGCCACACCCATACCCCACGCCCCATGCCATTACAGCTGCTGAGGCTGCAGGAGGCGAGACGCTGCTTGATAGGGCAGCTGATGCTCTTCTCACTTTGGCCATGGTCACCAGAAAGAGAAAAGCAAAGCATGAAGGTCCTAGTGGACGACTTCCAGGAGAACAAAGGGATCTGTGCCCTCGGGGATGGCTGCGTTGCCGTCTGTCCTCCACCAAGCGTTACCTGCCCTCCCTCCTTCTGTGCCTCCGAAGGAGTTCACTCATACTTTTTTAACAACAACGATGCTCAGACCAAGTTTTTCATTGAAGGACAAACTTGAGTGATGGAGACCACTACAAGGCAGACCTGAGCAGGACTTAAATTATTCAGTTGGCTTTTCATGTTCACTTGTGAGTCTGTCCAAGGCTGAGGCTCCTTGTCTGGAAATGGCGGGCTCATAGTAAGTGAACCTCTGTGAGTCACTGATCCCTGCTAGAACCCACAGTGGTGGATGAAGCCAGAAAGCCTCAAAGGATAAGACAGGATCACAGCTAAGGACACCTGGGTCAGATCTCAACGGGATAAACACTATAGCCTTAGCATCTCACTCTTGAGAGGATTAACTTAATACCCTACTTAAAGAAGTCCTCGAGAGTTTCCACCCTCCTTGTGTATTCCCCTCCTTTCTTCTGATAACCAAATAAATAAGGGTGACCCAGAGAAGGTCTTGGTCTTAGCCCTGAGAGAATCTTGAATTCTGTGAGAGGGCTTTGATCCTTCATTCCATTTGCCTCTTTTTATTCAGGCTTTGCAGTACACTCATTCAGGAGATTGAGGACCTGATCAGCCCACAATAGCTAAGGGATATTATTAACCCGATACCTGGGCAAGTCCCCAGCACAGAGATTCATCTCTGCAAACCAGAAAGGCAACGTTTGCCGGAATCTCTGTGTCCTGTGTGTCCCGTTGAAGGACAAGAGCATGTTAGTCACTTTTCAGCTTCACTGGTGGTGTACAGGAACATGAAGGAAACTCAGATGTCAGTCAAGCACCTTCGAGGCTGTAGGGGTCTGAGTGCTCATTGTGTTCCTCCTGCCTTCAGCAGTCTTCTGCCACACCAGCATTCCCTCTACCTAGCAATGAAAGCATCAGAGAAATCACAGACTGGAAATATGCTTGAACCCCAAACCAGGGCTCCCAGACTCAGGCTGTCTTTCCTAACCCAAGGCCTTCCTTGCTGCCCACCCCCAGTCCTCTCCAAGTGGGTGTTACACTTATCCTGACACCAGAAAGTCATCACCTTCTGCACCCTGCGCTACTCCCAGAACTGCGCTAGCTCTCTGCTCCCCCGCCCTGTGGCACAAAGGCCAGGAGAGCTCAGGCCTGGCGAGCACAGGGCGAGCAGGCTCCGCCCTGGATGCGGTGGCACCTCTCCCACAGCTGTCGCCTTCAGATGGTATTTTAAGGTAAGAAGAGCTAAGCTGCGGTCAAGGCTGGGTCCCAGGCTCTATCTAAGCAGGTCGGTGTGTAACAGTCCTGTGAAACAGCCGTGCGAGCGCTGTTTGGTGGGTGAAGCAGCTGCCCCAGGCGTTCACTGAGGATCTCAGCCCTGACCCCTCCAGGACAGCCAGGCTCCTCCAGGCTCCGGGGGCCCTCTCCACACACCCTGGATGCTGGGCCTGTGTCTCACCTCACTTCTCCCATGGTGACATGTCCTCATGTCCACTCTGTCTGTCTGTCCATCCACCTGTCCCTCCTTATCCTTTCAGAGCACAAGGTTGTGCTCCAGGCTGCTGCCGCCCAGGCCTCTGCCAGCTGCTCCTGAGCTGAGAGGCTCAGGCCTCCTCCTTCCTTTCTTTCTTTCTTTCTTTCTTTCTTTCTTTCTTTCTTTCTTTCTTCTTTCTTTCTTTCTTTCTTCCTTCCTTCCTTCCTTCCTTTCTTTCTTTCTTCCTTCCTTCCTTTCTTTCTTTCTTTCTTCCTTCCTTTCTTTCTTTCTTTCTTCTTTCTTTCTTTCTGCCTTCCTTCTTTCCTTCCTTCCTTTCTTTTCTCTTTCTCTGTTGTTTTTTCCACTTCTATTACTCTATTTTGTACATTTTCATTTTATTATTAGTGCCTATTAATTTCACAAAATAGTGAATCTTACTTTCTACCTCTTTCCCTCGTAAACAGGATAGACATCTCTTGCCTAACCTGACAGGTTATCCTGCGTGGCAATACCCTACTTCCCCTCCAGTACAGGCTCGGCCTGGACCCTGGCTCACTGCCACATGACACAATCCAGACATTGCAGAACTAGAATAAACAGCCAGGTGCCTCACTGGGCCCAGCAGGGATGGAGCATCACACAGCTGTCCCATGAGGCACCACGCAGCCCTGCTGCACCACTGAGTCCCTCTCAGCCCTTTACCAGGCTCACGGGACAGCAGATGCCCAGCAAGCCAGGCATCCTCAGAACAATCGCTACCCTTAGCAACACAAGACTGTCCAGAGTTAAATTTCATTTCAGGCAACATAGCAAACATGGTATCATGGAAAATCCTGTTCCTATAGAACACTCAGAAATGTGGGAACAGTTAACAGAACACAACGCAAAAGTTTTAAATTTGGAGCCAAACTAATAAGAAATTAAATTCAATCTCCAGGATCTAAAAATATGAAAAGAATGGGCAGATGGAATTCTTCAAGAGACAATAAACCTGCAAGCACTCCAAGGGTATTTGTAGTTTGTGAACTCACGTTGGATTTTACCAATCACAGTAAGGGTAAGTAAAGGCAAGACTAACAATCAAAATATCTGCATGTAGTTTGTACCTCAAAGGCCAGAAGCTTCCATGATCAGGTAAGAGTCAGCAAAGTTTCAACTCACTGTGAGAGAGACTTCTGTTCTGTTCTCAGGACCCCACAACACGGCTCTGGCTCAGAGTTGGTTGAAGCTTGTATTCGACTCACATCTTCTGGCTGGGCTGGGAAGCAAAGTTGAACAACACAGGGGGTGGGCTGAGAGAGGCACAGTGACCAGCACAGCACTGTCCTTGGAGCTTGACCAGAACAAGTTTCCTGTGCAAAATTACGAAGTACCATGAACAACCAAGGACCAGAAGAACAGGGGCAGAAAGAACCTCCCAAAGAGGTCAAAAATGATCTGTCTGTATGAGATCATTACACACAAAACAAAAATGAATGTGAACAAAATTTACAAGGGATAAGCCAGAGAACTGATAATGTACCCAAAAGTAAAACACTATCCAAGAAGAGCAGGTAGGTTTTCTGAACATGAAGACAATGTAATAAGTAAAACCTAAAACACCAGTGAAGTGAATTCCACAGCAGACTATACACTGAGGGTAGGAGAAACAGCAATTCTCTTAAAGGATAAACACATATTTGAAAGTTAGAGAAATTAAATGTGTGTATACAGTAATGTGCCTGCATATATACATGTTTATATATGAAGGTGAAGCCAGGCAATATGGTGGATAGGATGATAAGGCGGGATATATGTTCCAGAAGAAAAAAGATTAAATGTGGAAGTTAAACTTTTTTTAAAGTATTAGTGACACAGTATAAATTTGTGAATTTTGTAAGCAATATTTATGATGTAATTCTATCCCAGCCTCAAAACATTTAAAATGAACACTGTATGTGGAAAAAAGAAAAGGGTTAGTGAGCATTCCCAAATTTGGAGAAAGTCTCCAAACCTTAAATTAATAACAGCAATAGTCCTACAAAATTAAGTTAAAGGAAAAGGTTAGCATAGCACAATAAAACTGCTCAAAATATTATACACTACACTCATGTACTAATAAAATAAAATAAAAACAAGGGGAAAGGAAGAGAAGCTGCCCATGAGCGCAGACACAGCACACCGGAAGGAGAACACTGAGACCAGAAGCTGATTTCTTGAACTCGCAGATGCTGGATGCCAGCAACCGTGGATACAAATGCACCAAGCACACAGTGGGAAGTATGCATCAGCCCCAGCACCGCACAGCTCCACAGGCTCCCAGAATGCTGGTGCACTCCGTCACCAGAGAGAAACTGAACTTTACTCATCATTGTCCTTATAAAGTCAAAATAGGACTAGCTGAAACAAGGAATAATGTCCAGAAGAAAATCCTAAAATACACGAAGAAATAGTGAGCAAGGAATTATTTAACATTCGGGTAGATCTTAATATACACCTACTTCATAAGAAGAGTTACCTAACCCTTAAAATAAACAAAACATACCTAAATGCTAATTAAGAATAATGTGCACACTGGAAAGGCACAGACTGCCCTCAGAGAAACCTAAGGCATTTCCATGCTTCAGGATGAAGGAAGTGCTTGTCGGTTGTCTATTCTTCTGGTCATAGGACCTGCAAACAAAGCAGGAGAGAAACAGCTGTCTATATCCAAAACCAGGAGTGGAAAATATTTGTTTTCAGTCAGATTTCCCTCAACAATAACAAAATTAACAAGGGAAATTGAGAGTATAATTATAACATGGAAAGTCAAGAGAATAAAGACAAAATGATTCCAAATATATTAGTATTACATTAATGTAAATGGATAAAATTCTCAATAAAGGCTAAGCATGGCCATGTTTATTTATTTTTTAAATCTCTAGTTGTACACTATACTAGAGATAAGTACTAATCACAGGAAACTTCAGATGAAACAGATATTTTGGCAAAAAAATAGAGAGGATGACAATAATTACAGATAATAATTACAGTTTCTGTGGACTGAATTGTATCCCTGAAAAATGCAGACACTGCAGCAGTGGCCCCGGTGTGACAGGAGGTAATTAGGTCATGGTGAGGTAGCAAGGGCAGAGTCCTCACTGTGAGATTACTAGCTCTGAGACTCACAGCTCACCACCCACCCCGCCACGTGAGGAGCTGGGGGAAGCTGCATTCGCAAACCAGGAAGAGAGCCACACTACATTCCCATAACCAGACCAGGCTGGAGTCAGACCTTGGACTTCCAGCCTCCAGAACCTTGGGAAATTTCTGTTGTTTAAACCACCCAGCTCATCTCATCTTGTTATGGCAGCCCAAAGAGCAAATAAAGAAGCTTAATGGCTCATAAAATATAAAAATTTCTCGGTACAGCCTCACAATAGACAAAATACATAAAATACAATTTGGCAAAAAATAGGGAAAAAATTAAAATTCCTTATCTTGACTGAAGACCTCTCAGGTAGGGACAATCAGTGAAGATGAGGAGGATTTGAAAGGCAAAGAGCAAAGCCGGCCGGCAGACACAGGTGGTGAGTGAGGGCACCACGACCCAGGACACGGGTCAGTGACCGACAGTGACACAGCCACCAGACGGCTCACGCATCACAGACCGCAGTGCACCCCCTGCCCAACGCACCACTCTGCAGGTCCCACCACAGACACAAGGTCAGAGCAGCAGGAACCTGTCACCACTCACACACCTGGCTCTGGCAAGATAGAGAGTTGCTAGGAGAAAACGGAACTGTTAAAGAATCGGGCGAGTTTGCTAAATACATCTATATATCAGAATAAATGGCACTTCTATGCCCTAAGAAGAAAATGAACTATAGTCTTTTCAGAAGGCGCCATTTTCCATAGACAAGAGCTGAACAAAATTAGGAATAAGTTACTTTCAAAAGTGTATCAGCTGGCTGCATACAAAGCAGGGCTTTACTAAAACAGATTAAAGTGCGTCTAAAGAAATGGAGGAAGACGGCATGTCTACAGATGGGAGGGTGGCCTAAAGCCATGATTTTTCCTAAAATCAATGTAAAGAAACCAATGTAAATCTGAGAGAAAGGAGTTCGTGGGATCCAAACATGAGGAGGGGTCAGTACGCAGGAGGCAGACCGGCGGGCGCAGTTCCCTGCCTGGATAATTCCCACACACTTGCTAGGTGTCAACTAAAACCAAAATTTAAAAAATCAGTGTAAATCAAAACTCCAGCGGTTTCCTGGAGCCCGGTGTACTGGAGGGGCACGCAGATGGGGACCCCTAGAGGCAGACAGGAGCTCTGAGATAGTGAGAAGGAAAGTGTGGCCCAGGAGCAGGTGGGGAGCAGGGGTACAGGGGAGCTGAGCCCCACCCAGGGCTTCACCATGGAGAGAAGGCACCCTTCCAGCTCCAGAAGAGGGGGAGCTTGTTTATCCATGGGGCCAAGCTGGGAATAGACCCACATGCACAGAACGACAAGAATTTCTGTGAGGAGCCAAACCTGAGAACGTAAAAATGATATAAAGGGTCACACAAGAACAGATTTTAAACAAGATATGCAATCATACAGAAAAAATGCGTATTGATGGATTTGATCACACAAAAATTAAGCCTATTTATCAACTGCAGCAGAAAGTATGTGTGTGTGTGTGTGTGTGTGTGTGTGTATGTGTGTGTGTAAGGGAGAGAGGAGAAAAAGAGGGAGAGAGAACATGAGAGTATGAGGGCACACTTGTGGAATAGCAGACTCGTGGGCATATTATAGCAAAAGTCAGAGATCAGTCCATAGCCCACGACTGTGCACACCCTACCAGTAGCCTTGACCGTCCACTTCTCTTTGATAATGCACTGGGCCAACCTGACTGTGTCCAGCCTGTGTTTTCCTTAGTCAGAAAAATATACTTTGTTTCCACCCTGCATCAAGGACTTCGTGTCTGGTTCAGACTGGCCAGTCAAGGACCCATTTAATTCTACCCGCTCCGCGCACACCTCCTCCCGTCCTTTCCAGAACATTCCTGTCTAATAATAAACAATTCCTTTTAAGTAAATCTGCCTGACAACGTGTGACTTAATTCATGTATTCCAAGTAACCAATCGTGTAATAACCTGCTACCGGCTTTGTACTTCCCACTTGCAAATCATGTTTAAGCCGAACTCAAACCTGACTCTGGGCTGCTGATCTGAGCCTCTGGGCTCCCCCGCCCACTAGCGCAATAAAAGCTGCCTTTTAACTCCTCCGTGCAGTCTTCCATCAGGTTTGATATTGGTTTTCTGCAACAAGAGGAGCTACAGACTTCATACTGTAAGTCATCTCCAATTGCCAAAGAATCAATATCTGGCATATGCTTTAAAATATGCAAAAAAGAAATGTAATCCATCTAGTAGGAAACTGAGCAAAAATAATGAAGATAATAAAGTGAAAAATCAATTTAAAAAGGTAAAAGCTCTCAATCTTGCAAGTAATCAGAGAAGTGAAACTCAAACCCTGCCCAGCAGAGGGTGGCAGGGTTGGTACAGCTGTGAAGAACAACAGTCTTCCACACAGCGAGCAGTGGATAAACAGACGCAAAATGATGCAGGGTTCTCAGTCTAGAAACGTGTCACTGGCAGTGGACGCAGCTTTAACTCAGCTATCCCAACTCTCGGAGTAGACCAAAAGCACACTCATAAGTGGACAGAAGAATATATAAATTATGAAAGGATCACAGGATACGACTCTGCAATAGTGGAAACATCTCACCATTTCAATCGTGTAGAGTGAATATCCTCAGCAGTGAGAGAGGAACAGACACACACTGTCAGCATGTGTGAGTCAGCGTGAGTGAGTTGGTGAGTGAGTCGGCATGCATGTATCAGCACGAGTGAGTCAGCATGTGTGTGTCAGCATGAGTGTGTCAACATGAGTGAATGGGCCTCACAAATAAGATGGGGAGAGAATAATTTAAGTTTTAAAATGAACAGTTTGAAAGCATTCAGAAGATGAGGTGTATCTGTGAAAACCTTTACTTAGCATTATTCTTAATGTTAAACCTTGCACATTTCTCCTTCAGGTAAGGGACGAGGAAAGAACTGCCTGATCTCACTGGCTCTACCCAAAATGCACCTCAGGTCCTACTTGGTGCAACTCAGAGAGGGGTGTGGTGGGATGAGGTGGGACAGAAGCAAGAGAAAGAGAGGATGAGCTGGGTACATACACAAAATAAATTTTTTGAAAAAATATATATGACTGTGTATATAAAATGCTGGAACTAATAATTTATGTCATGGGTTAAAATTTCAACACGCAAAACATTGTCTTGCTACTACAAATAAAAAATTAGAAAATGAGATTTAAATATAACCTTCAAAAGAGCATCTAGGGCCACAGTTAATAAAAGAGGCACAAACCCTCTAGAAAACATTATTGAAAGACATTGTTTTAAGACTCAGATAAACGGGAACGTAGACCACGTTTGCACGCTGGAAGCTCAGCACTGTGAGATGTCAGCCCTTGAGGATCAGCCAGCCTCCCCACAGCAGAACGCCTGACACAGAGGACTCTCAGGGGTATGAGAGGGGCTCTCTGGCGCGGAGTTGGGTGCACCCGAGACAGAACGAGCTGCTCACCTCGGGCCCAGGGAACAAGCGGGGAAGGGGACGGCTGGGTGTCAAGTCACTCCCAGGGCACCAGGACCTGAGACCCTCGCCCGAGGCACTGCCCCATAGGCTGCACTGCCTCCCATAGGTG